TTTTTTTTTTTTTTTTTTTTTTTTTAAGCTCGAGGTCTCTGAGGCAGTTCCGCAAGTTCCGCCGTTCCGAATTCCGTCGATCCACGGTTAACCAACACACTGTCTAATCCTTTCTTTAATCCAAGTTGCCATAGAGAGACTAACACACTTGGCAACTGATAAATAAATTCTATACGTTCCCTCCCTTATGACAATACATCCTGGGATTCTAATGCATGAACAGACCAGATGGTACTCGTTGTTCATGAACTTTTTTTGTACTAAGGTTTTCTTTTATCAATTACACTGTTTGTCGACAGCTATATTACTATAGCGTATTATATTTATAGGTTTATTTCTTCATTTGGATACTACTTTGAAACACCTGCTACTAGCGTAGATTTGTTTAATTTCTACCGAACCTTTTAACGTTTCCTACATTGGTACAACACTTAAAAAGTTAATTCAAACGAGTGAAGATTTCGAGTTATCACCGATCAAGCAACAAGAATAAGAAGGCTTCACCAAATGGTATATGGAAAATCTTTAACGGCTTTACTTCGCTGCCAGTGAAAGCTATTCTGTTCAAAAACCACGAGAGAACTCTTTACCATTATTCTCAAGGCAAACTTTAAAATTTAAAACGATGTCTGCAAATGATACGGGGATTGTTCTTTCTTCTGGATTCAACACCTGTGTTGCCCTACCACTTGCTTTGCAGCTAAACCTAGATGATACAAATCTGATCTTTCTAACTAACATCATTACGTGTATTCTAAACTCATTTTTCTCCATAACTGCTATCATTGGTAACATTTTAGTATTGATATCAATACTATCTTTGCCTTCGTTGAGGAGTCAGCCTTGCAACGTAGTACTATGCTCCCTAGCAATGGCGGACTTTCTTGTTGGTACTCTAGTTCAACCTTCGTATGTCGTCTATAAAATTGCAGAATTAACTAAAAAATGGGATGTAATGTGTTTTGGAAAGCTTGTCCATGTTTSTGTAGGATATGCAACGACTGGAGCATCGTTATTAAGCCTCATGGCTATAGCATTGGAAAGGGTTCTCGCGATCAACCTTCATCTACGATACAGAGAAATAATAACATCAAAAAGAGTGAGCACCGTTCTACTCTCATTTTGGATTCTTTCTATTTTGGTTTCTTCCTTAAGCTTTAAAGTTCGAAAAGCCTTTGATGTCATCGTTGCAATAGTTGAGTTGGTGATTATTATCATCACTTCTTTCGCCTACCATAACGTCTACAAAACCGTCCAACGCCATCGAAAAGCTATAAAAAGCCACAATGCTTCGCGACAGCTCGATGTTGAGAAATACGAAAAGTCTACCATAACGTTTTTTTTGGTTTTTATGTTTTCGCTATTTTGTTATTTGCCCTTTGTGGTATTTCTTGTCTTTGATGCTGTATACGGTTTCAAACCGATGGTTAAAGCGTTAGCAAATTATGCAACTACTTTGATTTGCATTACGAGTTCTTGTAATCCTTTGATCTATTGTCTGAGGATGCAAGAGGTTCGAAAGGCGATTTTACGTCTGATTTTCCGCAGGAGTACGGCCAGTGTTCAAAATGTGTCGTGCAATCTGCAGGTCGATAATATGGCCATGACGTAAAACGTACACTGTGTATTGATGGTTTTCACGGCGGCCATGTTGGAGGAACTTAACGAAAGAATTGTCAACGAATTTTTTTTGTTATATCCTCCAACATGGCCGCCGTGTCTTTTGTTATTTAATTCTCTTGGGAATGGTTGAAAACTATCAATATAGTGGCTAAGACAGCAACGACAGCTTAGATAACAAAAATATATACTCTTAATAGCCAAGCAAAGATAATCAGAAATTGTATAGAATAGGAAATATAACCTAACGTTAAATAATGTACAAATAGATATTTCATTTTCCGTGCAATTCTCTTTTCCTGTGGCCTCCTGACATAAAGAGTAAAACTAAAAAAACTATATAAAAACTCGTAGTAACTATAGCAACCGAAACTAGATGATCGCCATTATACTGACAACCATCATTATTGAAAAATACTCAAAAATAGATGTTTAGGTACTATCTTAGCAAGAACTTCTTCTTCAAAATCCGTATGATTTGGTTTTGAGCCATTTTACTCTACAGCTTTGTTGAAAACGAATGAACTATATCGCAAGTGAGGTAGAACRCAAACAAAGAAAATAGAACCGATATGACATTTGCAAGAGCTTATGCCAAACAGTAATTAAAAAAAACTGATTTACAACAACTGAACAAACTTTGAATTGTACAACCATTACATACACACAGTTTATCTATAAAAATATCTCATGATTAAAAATAAACAATAAAGAAAACCGAGTGAAGGAGAGAGGAACGCTGCAAACGTACTCCGATCTAACTCGGATAGCTGAATTGATTACGAACTACGAATAATGATTGTGAGTCACAACTYGATAAATGAAATAAAAAATGAGATTTAAAAAAGATTTGGTCTCTGAGTTTAATGTTTTTGAAAAATGAATATATCAGAAAAGGTTATTTYAATTTGACTTAGCAATGGTATTCGTAACAATAAACTGTATTGTTTGATACTGATTTTTTTGAAAGGAAAAATGTTTGATGGGACGACGATGATGGGAAAACTAAAACGACAGTTCAGCGTGAAGTAAAAATGAGCAAACGAAATAGCGAGGTACTAGTCAAGACAAACGATGGAAAAAAAAAMCCCCAGAAAAACGTCTAAATTGTATTTAACAAAAGATAACAATAATAAAATCAAAGATGTGCCAAAATCAAGTGATTGCCAGTTGAATATTCAACTGCTTGAGAATATTACGGTTGCTGGTTGAAACTAAAAGATAAAATGAAAAACAACAAAAAAAAAAATGTTTAAAAAAAAAAAAAAAAAAAACCAAAAAAAAAAAAAAAAAAACAACAAAAACAAAAAAAGTCATACAACTGTTAATTTTTTCCGCGTCATGATTAAAAAAAATTAAACACTTTTAGGATAGCACTAGATGTGTTAGAAGACTCTCCAGAAGTTTACTTTAATTACTGGAAATATGCCAAGCCAGAGATAAAGACTATTAAGACAACGAGGAGGAAAAAATCACTTTGGGAAAACTGTCTCATAAATGAAATATGTTTAAATACAATAATATTTATATTAAAAAGTCCAACGATTTATTTTTACTTAATTAGGTCCGACAAGGTCTGATATGTAATTGCCGTTACTGTGCTGGGGGGAAAATGCGAGAAAAAAAATTAAAAACTTTGTGTTGAATATTTTCTTTGGTGCTTTTAAAAGACGCTTACAGGTCGTAGCTAGCTGTGTCAATATAGTGAAAGCTGTGTCTACTAGACTGAGTTTGTTTGATGTGTTGTTCTCTCCCTTACCACGAGGGTTTTTCTCCAGGTTCTCTGGTTTTCCTCCCTCCATAAAAATCAACATGTGAGTTGAGTTTGTTTGATGTGTTGTTCTCTCCCTTACCACGAGGGTTTTTCTCCAGGTTCTTTGGTTTTCCTCCCTCCATAAAAATCAACATGTGAGTTGAGTTTGTTTGATGTGTTGTACTCTCCCTTGCTACAAGGGTTTTTCTCCAGGTTCTTTGGTTTTCCTCCCTCCATAAAAATCAACATGTGAGTTGAGTTTGTTTGATGTGTTGTACTCTCCCTTGCCACAAGGGTTTTTCTCC